TCCAAAGTTAAATTTCATTTCTTCACAGACCATAACTTCTTGCGCACCTTAAAGACCTTATTAAGGGAAAGCACAAATTTATGCCACACCATCTTGAGAAATGAAATGGCATATTGGTAAGATCTGGAAAGCAGAAAAAGGTTTAATAGGAAGCTTATGGTTAAGCATTATTAGTTTTCTGGCAAACAAAAAAGACAGAGAATAGGTATGGTGGTCTCACCTCCTTTGAATTAAGATGCCCGCTAAAATAAGTTAAAGAAGCTGTCAATTTTCCCAATCCTGGCGAAGTTGATTTTAGAATTCGAGTATTCAGTGAGCCATATTTTTGTGCAATTTGCTCTGTCACCAAGGAAGTCTTCCAATTATCAGACTGCTGGTCATACAACTTGATATCATCACTCTGCAAGGGATGGAAGGAACTTCTTAACAGAAGATACCAATAAATGAAATATGCCAAAATATTTTTTACTTCATAGGCTCACCCACCATACAATAAAGCCATATTGATAAAGCAAATGAAAAAGGAATAAGTGAACTATTTCAGTGCACCAGGTGACAAATCTACAATGATGAAAAGGAGGGAATAGAAAAGAATAATATAAAGTCTTTTTATCAGAAGCAACAGTTAAATCAAATATAAAGCATGTAACTGAAACTGAATATAAAGAGCTTCAACATTGTTTCAAGCATTTTTTTTGACATTTTGTTGTTCTTGTGAGATGTAAGCCAAAAGATATACATATTAACACGTTTCAATATATTGCCCGATATCAGAATGGTTTAAAATAAAAAAGAGATTACAGTTCTTTTCAAATTCCTTGGTCAGGCATCGATGATATTTTAAAGACGCCATTCAAAAATCATTTTAAAGACAAACAATAGTATATGGTGAATCGAATTGTTCAGCTAAATATACAACTGGAGAGGTTTCAAATCAACATGTAACGTTACAAAAAGCAAACTTTAAGAAAGTAATGTTATATACACAACATGCACATTCACAAAAGGGAAGTCCTACCACGAAAAATGAAATAAATTTTCAAATAAATTTTGAAATGAAAAAAGGATAGGATACAAGCCTCTGTGATGTATATTTCTTGTGCATCAGGTTCCCGAGAGAAAACTTTCATTTGAATGATGTATTCCCGACCAGAGACAATATACCAACGTGCCCCAGATGAAATGTCTTTAGTACCTTCTAGAGAATCATCAGATATAGATGATAAATGTGATAGATACAGAACCAAAGAATCTGGTAAAACCACGTTGAGCGATGACATTTGAATGTGCCCAGAAACCCTAGTATCTTCAACAATGACATTTGTTACCCCTAAGTTCAACGCATGAGTGAAACCATTCAAACTGTTCACTTCAGCAACTGATGAGTTTGAAACTGACCATCGATGATGTGGCGACGGTAGATAAACCACTGCCATTATTGATTAAGAAAAAAGAAAAAAAAGAGTTAAAACGACTGAGAAAAATGTTGATAATGCAACACAATGAGAAAGTTATTAGCTATATTTTTCTTTTGAAAAGGAAACACAAAAACTATCATTCAAAAAGCACCATAGCCACCCACATAAAATGGGAATTTAAACCAGAAAAGTCAGAACCCAAAAAGTATCCAAGAACTTCTAATTGCAAAGAGAATGACCTTTGAACAAAAATAGATATTATTGGAAATGAATAAACTCCAACTTTATGAGGAAGTGCCTAAAAAATCCTTCACTTTGCTCTTTCTATGGGGTGGCACCCCCTTGGTGCTTGTGAGCAAAGAATGGACCAAAACACAAAAGAGAAACAAAATATAACAAGATCTTTTAGGTTCAAGAGAACTGCGGTGAAGAAGAATGAAAGGAAATATTGAAGAGAAGGGATTTTCAGTGATTTGAAGTCTAGACAAGAAACATGGAAAAAAATGGAAAAGGTAAATGAACAAAATAACTATTTTTCCAATGGAGAAAAAATTGGGCGAAAAGAAACGTAAAAGAGAATTGGAAACCTTTTTTACTGGGTAAAAGAAAACAAGAAACAAATAGGTTTTTATTAATGAAAAGTAACTAGATTACAATTTTTTTTTTCTTTTTCTTTTTCGTGTTTGATGGCTAAGAAGTTGAAAGAATTGCATTGTGAACAAAATTAAAGGAAGCTAATAACCTTACAACCTATTGCTACAGACTATGTGAAAAGAATATACTAAAATATTGTTCATTGTTATGTTGGAGTAGTACTACATATATATAC